CAGAAATTAATATTGTCAGTAACAATTGATAGTGACAATAAGTTATTAGTGGCAACAACAGTTATTAGTGCCACGATATACTGCACACAACTCCCAGGACGACTGATAGCTGCTGTGATGCTCTTACTGTACACTTCATCTTACACAGGTTGTAAGGGAGTGTAATTAATAAACAAGCATCATTCACCTGGTTCCTTTACCACAGCATGTACCTGTTAATAATCACACCTGCTAGTGAGCGACGGCAAGAATTTAGGGGAGCCACGGCGAGCTGTTATAAATTGTACGTTTCCAAATAATGTTGGGAATCTGAATTAAACAAAACGTGTATTACTTATTTTGACTTGGCAGAAGAGAATTTTCATTAATTTTTTGTCATTTTGTTTAATCATAACGACAATACAATTTTAATATTTACATACTGTGGTGCTATTTATTTTTACGGATTATTTAAGATTTCACAGGTCCAGTCCCTGTCTGTGATAGGCGCTGGACCTAGCTGCTGAACTGCCTTGTTCAGTACGTGTCCGTGTGTCATCCCTTTGCAAGTGGTGATAGGACCGAATGATCTTAGTCTGGCCTGGGATACCATCACGAAAACAGTGGAGTGTATTGTCTCTGAACCATATATTGTGTTTGAGCTTGACTCAAGCATAATATACTCCGTAATTGGTGTTACATATTTTGTTTCATAATTCATGTGGTCGCTGCGTTACGTGGGTGAAATATTTGTACACTTCCTTTATTACTTATTTCCTTAATTATTGGTGCCATTGTTGTTCATACTCATTCTTTACTTATATAATCCTACCATTTTTAGTGCTAAATTGGTATAACTCACTATTCTTCTCATTCTTCCAAGTTGGGCAGTGCTTGTCAAAGGAGGCGTGTTCTTGCTTACAGGAAGTACACTTCAGCTTGCTAGCTTGAATGTTTACCTGTGTGCATGTTTGTGTATGACTATGTATGCTTAATGTGTGAGTGCATGGGCGTGTTATGTATGTGAATGTGTTTGTCATTCTAACTCTTGTCCTATTTACCTGTCCTTCTTTATCATTCTTTAGTCTTTATCACTTGTCTGTTTGTCTGTTCTGGGATAAAAATGAAGGAGGCCACGAGGATGTTGAAAATTCCTCAAGGGGGGAATGGAGTGAAAAAGGTTGAGAACCACTGTCCTAATATAATGGATTCACCTGTAAACGTATTTTTCGCGGTGTCCGAGGGCCAGATTCTTTATCCCGTCACATACATTTTCAGCAAACAACATTCGCGCCAGTTTGGTTTCAATAAAAATTGCCCCGGAGCCTTGAAATAGGGAGGAGAGTTTTGGTGTTTCCTGCGTGTCGTTGTGTAGGACAGCGGAGGAGGAAACAAATATTCTCACAGACAATTAAACTGATGGACCGTCAGAGTGGTCGTCTTTGTTACCGCACAAAAAACAACAACTCGACGCCACTCTCCTGGTTTCCTGCTCAATGTTTCAATGGAGTTGGACACTCAAAGGCCCCCCCGCCTCCCTTCTTCCGACAAAACAACTGTCTAAAATTAGTACCGCCCACCCCACACCTGCCACAAGTCCTCCTTTGTCTTTGTTGTGATTTATGCCTTTTAATATTAGAGTGGAATTGGTAATGAATATATGAATGTCTCGCAGTGTTTGTTCATATTCAACTGTAGTGATATATGTTTGTCTGAAAGTTGCAAATAATTGCCAAAATAGATTTGTTGATAATAATAAGGAATTAAACATCACATTTACACGTCCATAGAACTTCTCTTGTCTCAGCTCATGTAAGGTGGACTTAATGTTGTATTAATGCGAATACTTAATATCCGAACGACACTGTACTTACCACTGCTACTGCTGTACTGTAGAGCATTGTGTGTGTCAAGCGAGTGTACACGTCATGTGTGTGTGTGTACACGTCATTAGAACATGTCTGACTTGTCTTGGGTAGATATTTATACTGGGTTTAAATCACTCGACGAGGCAAATCATGGAAGTACCTCAGAGGTCCAGATAAGTGACCGAAGGAAGGGTCCAGCTCTTAAAAGTGAGTCTTGTAAGTAGAGAATAGTTGTGAGTACTTCCTCGCCAGCTGTCTTTATGTTAAGTAAATGTAAAAGCTGTAGAAAGGTGAAGTTGTTGACGAGTGCTGACAGCGACGCTCTCTATCCCATTGTCCCATGGAACTCGTCAAAGCTCTCGACAGACTGCTGCTGCTCGCCTACAAAAGCTCTCTCATATAGTGGAGTCTTAACGTCTGGTATATGAAAAATTGAAAATGGAAGGACACTCATTGTAATGTATTGTAAGGCAATGCAGGGTACCGTACGTGCTGTTGCTATTGTGTGTATGGCATTGTACCTGGTTTGTGTGTGTTGTCGCTAACAATGTGCGTGAGGACAAGGTCAGGTCAGACCAGCCACCATCACCACATTAATCCCAACTTTCACGTCTCATACACATTTATCAAGACTACCTCTCGTCTTTGTCTTCATCTTTCATATATATAATTATTCCCTGTTTTCTCACCTCGACTTTTTCTTTTCGTTTCCCCCCTTCTTTGTCTCTCTCTTACCTTCTCCTTTATCATTTTCCATTACTGTACCGGGGTACTTGTTTTTTTACAATCTTATATTGTGATTTAATCCTCACTTATCTCTCTTGTTTCCCGTCTCATATGCAAGTCATCTGATTTGCCTAACACACACACACACACACACACACACACACACACAGGTATATTGTACAGTACAGTACATGTTTCGTCACATTCTTGCACTAGCTGCTGCCCTTGTTTTATGAACACTTGTATTAAATCTAATAATATTAATAAATTATGTTGTATTCTTTTCTCTGATCCGAATATTGATTGTTCGTATTACTTGAAACAATCATGAAGATTTGTATATTCAAGTTGCTTGAAGAATATATAATATTTATCACCGCCTTAAAGCTCGTTACAGTGTTTCAGGGTCACGCTTTTAAACACAGGAATCGTTGTGTTATAAACCTTACTGAAATGAAACACTGATGCTTTTATCAGAATGTGTTTGGTAAGGATGAAACTTTTGAAAAGTGGACAACATAATATTGTCTAGACATTGGCTAAATACTTAAGTTATTTAATGATAAGTTGGATCCTTGCTCTCCAGTTATGTCCTGACTGTACACGGAGATTAAGGTTATTAACACCACGCTCTAACATGTCATGTGGGATCTGGATGATATATTGGATAATGATATGTTTGTGGTCTCCAGTGTTGGGTTGGTACACGTGATCCTTGATATAACCCCTGAGAAAGTAGTCACATTGGTTCATATCTGGCTAGTGCAGCGGCTGGGGTCCTGTTTAGAATGAGACGACAACCGAGGAAGACACCTTGTAGATATTCTCGTGTAACATTTGATGTTAGGGCTGGTGCTCCTTACTGGACCACCGCCTGCCTCATTCGCTCCCTTCTGCTTCTCTTCGGTGCTGACAAGAACTTACCTCGGATGAGATTGTGGCTGCGTTCAGAATTGACATGAGAGAGTTTCCATGTTCATCTTTGTGCAAGAAGGGTTGTATGGTGCCCTTTTTTGCCCAAAGTTCACCACACTGTAATTGTCTGTGCACCCAGTAGTTTCTCTGTGGGTACTTGAGTGTTTCGCTGACCTAAAACTTTGTGTTTTGTCCGTTAACAAGTCCACTAATATGGACCTTATCACTAAACACGGCATTATCCAGGATTGTTCCATCAGTTAACTTCCTCATTGTTATTTCTCTGCCAAATCTCAGTTTCGTATCTCTGTTTTGTTGGGTTTACTTCTAGAATATCTGCACTTGTATAAACTGTAAATAGTTTCATGTCGATGCATTATTCTTGTTACACTTGTACGTGGGTTCCCAGCACTCTTGATAAATGCTCCTTGGTTTCTGTGGAGAGTGTCTGAGACTTGTCTGACCCCATCAATGTATTTCTCCTTCTGATACTTTTACCTTTATCCTCCCATTAGCCGCTTGGGCAGTCGGTCACGTCTCTGTTACACACTGTTGGCACGTACTGGGCATGCACCTGCTCCTGAATGTATCTGAACCTGCTCCAGTGCTGGTCAAGTCTGGTCTTGAAAGAGCTCACACTCGGTGCCATCACAACACTCTTTGGCAGGTTGTTCCAAGAGTTCACAATTCTCACACCAAAAAAGTTTGCCCTCACATTTTTCTGGACTTGCAGCTTCTTCAATCTTGAGTTGTGACCCCCTTGTGGGGCAAGCGTTCGCCAGCGCTAGGTGTGGACACTCGACTGGGATGTATAAGCTAGATAGTCTTGGTTGCCTACTATGGTCTTGTGTTCCATGTGTCTATTACCTTATAATAGTGTTGATCGGTCTTCTGGCAACATGATATTCTCACCTGAAAGTGCATTGAACCTGTACCAAAGAGTTCATGGGTATACATAATGTCCTTCTACTACTGTATCTTCACTTGCTGCTGCAGTGTGAGCTGACCAGGCAGGAAGAACTACAGTATATTGCTAATAAAAATTTATTTGTCTAAATTTAATATCTTCAGATAAAAGACCATGCAAAAGAATTTGTAAAATCATTAGACATCAAAATATTGTAGGTCTTGTTGGACCACCATGTACTATGCTGTACTGTATGGGAGGGCACTCGGAGTCTGATTTCCAAACAAAATTCACTGAATAAAAATACCCTGTATTGTGTTATGGGTTAAGTATTTTTTTATTTGTGGATTTATGCAAGCAAAGCTAGTACAATATGTTAATTATTGTATCTATAATTCATTTGTATTTAAAGTTGCTTAATGATCTGTTATTGTAAAGCACTTATAAAAATGTTGGGTCAGATTAGAACTTAAATCTTTATGGCAAAGTAGATTATGGTCTGTATTGCTAGTTTGGAAATTAATATTCTACTTTGCACATTTGTTTACATAACCAAACATGTGTATCTACTGTGTTTTATGTGTGTTTATGTGTTTGTGTTGCAGGAGAAACAAGAACGGGAGGAGGAGGAGCGTAAAAAGAGGCTACAGTTGTACGTGTTCATCCTGCGGTGCATCTCTTACCCTTTCAACGCCAAGCAGCCCACCGACATGACCAAGAGACAGATTAAAGTCAGCAAACACCAGCTAGACACCATTCAGGGCCGCTTCCAGGTACGTCCTAGCTAGTTCCTCTATGAAAGACTAGACCATGTTAGGATATACTGTATGATTTTATGTATGGTTTGTTTCCAATATTTGTTAAAACACGATCTTACAGTATGTGTTGTATTGTATCTTATTGTGACACGATGTTATAGAAAGCATATGAACTCTGTAACCTAAACTATGAAGTAGCATGTGACAGACTGTAGGGCAGACCATGTCCCTGTAATGGATTAATTGAGGCTTTAAACTATAAAGAAATGAAGAAGAAAAAGGTTAGATACTATTAAAGGGGATGCAGATGGTCCTTGATTCTGAGGTTTTATACATACAACAAAAACTCCTCATCCTCATCCAATTTCTTTAAAAGCTTTATGTTTTTTAAATCAACCAATCTTGTTTCCCCTATTCAGATGGGGACACACGACAGTGAATATTTACCTTACAAGATGAAAACCTTACAGCCTCTGGAGAACTTTAATGGAGAACTTTAATGTGGATGATTGTTTACGTAAAGACTTTGCCATTATCTAATAATAATAGTAACACATAATATTAATAATAATAATAATTATTATTAACATATGCTATAGCCACACTGTCCAATGGTTAACTTGGGTACAAAAACACATCATCATCTTACAAGTGAAGCTTTGCCCATACCGATCCTTTCCTTGTTCCAGTAATTAGCTCCAGTGAGGTGATGTGTTGCATAGAGTGGTGGACTAACACCTTCTGGGGTCTCTAGAAAACAACAATAGTATAATACTAAAAAAACGGGTTTGTTTTATTACTTTAAGGCTGAGAGGGGCCTTGAAGCCTTGTTGCCTCGGGGCCCAGCTGGTCATAATACTACACCACTGCATATTGGTCAATGATTAATTTCACATATTCATATCTTGCTTGGGTAGACTTCACTTGGGGTTCCTGTTACATCAACGTGCATTTCAGTAACTTGTTTATAAAGACTTCCATAGAGTTGAGAAGTACTGATGGGGAAGATGGTGGTGGTGGGTGGGAGATATTTGTTGACTGGCGGCCAGCCTTTGTCGCCAACCCCAACCTTCATTGACTTGGGACACATGTTACCGGAGTCGCTATCAGAAACCACTAACAAGTCAATTTCCTTCGATAGGAGTTTCACATGAAATTGTTACGTGACTTGACATTTGAGAATCATGTAAGCCTAACAATATTACTCTTGCTGATTGTTTGAGGAGGAAGGAAGGTGAATCACAGGTCTTCCTTGCACCTCAATATCCAGAACACTTGAAGTAATGATAAAACTTTCTCAGTAGTCTGGCTGGGATAAGATAAGATATGTCTATTTTGACAGAACTGGTCCTAGTACCAATTCATTACCAGTCAATGCAATAACAGTATTTGTGTACCTGTACTGTACAGTAAAAACTTTCAGTGTTAATATACTGTACTGTGATAAAAGGGAAAAATTGTGATGCACTAGACAATGTTCCTGGATCATGTTACCAGAAAGTGTAAATGATTCATTTCTTATTTAAAATAGGAGCGACTTATTTTCCACAAACACTGTATTCACGTATTTACTAAAATCTCTGTAAATTATTTTCCATCAGTGTCCTTAAATAAAGTGTTTTTATATAGATAAGTTGCCAAGGTTCATACTGGGAGGAACCAATATATACATTTAGCTTATATAAATTCTGATAAAATTTAACAATAAAACCAATGAAAGTACAGTAATGAATTGGCATTTATTAATTCACATTAAATACATGGAGACTATTTCTTCCAATGAAATTAATTAAGGACGTACACTCGCGCTGCTAGTGCACACAACATATTAGTCAATATGCAAATGTTTGATTAATGTGAACCACCTCAATGAGTCTGGTGGAAATTGTTTGATTTATGAAAGTTAAACCCTGTATTTCCTTTATTTTATTTATTTATTTATTTCATTTATTTATTTTTATAAATTCTTAGTTTTCCCGAAAGATTTTAACGTTTACTGTTGTTTTAATTATTCACCGTATCAGCTCGCTGTTCTCATCACTGTATACAGTACTCTGATAAATTTAGTGAAAATTTAGAAAATTAATGATCATGTCTTATCCCCCCACAGAGTTTTCTGAAGGGAGAGCTACAAATTGCGGCAGACGAGGCCTTCACTAACGCAGTACAGAGCTACCATGAAGTTTTCCTAAAAAATGAACGGCTGGCATCCATGGTGTTGTCGGGCGCCTGCTCCCAACATGACTTACGGGAGGTGTTCAAGCATAACGTAGAGAAGAGAGTCAGGTAAGAGCCACTGTGTTGTGTGTGAATAGCACTCACTCCAAAATTAGTGAACTATTATTAGTGCAGAGAGGACTTATTCAAGACAAATTCAGTTTCGGAAATGTAGTGAAAAGTAAGTGATAGACAACTGTCTGTTCAAGGCTAATAAAGGTTATGTAAAGGTGTAGGGACTCTACCAGTACAATCTAATAGAATTTCCCCAATAGCTTTACCACACTGTAGTGATCACATTGTAGACGCAGGCATGTTTTGTGTACCTGGTCCTGCCATGGTGAAAAAAGCTTTGGAATGGGGAATACTGAAGGTGAAAGAATACTTGAGTTTGGGGATACTGTACACTGAATATATAGTTTTCTGTTTGTGAATGGGATGAGTAGGCTGATCACGAATGAGTCAAGTGACACACACACACACACACACACACACACACACACACACACACACACACACACACACACACACACACACACACACACACACACACACACACACACACACACACACACACACACACACACACACAACACACACACACACAACACACAACACACAACACACACACACACACACACACACACACACAGACACACACACAGACACACACACACACACACACTCTCTCACACAACACACACACACACACACACACACACACACACACACACACACACACTCTCTCTCTTCTTACTGTCACTATGTTGAAATGCACTGTAGTTTGAGCTTTTCCCCATCTAGTTATTATATATCTTATTTGTATCACTTATGTTACTTGTATATTATTTGTAATTTGAAACCCATTCCCCAAATATGTAACTGTATATTTTCAGCCTTCTGGCTGCCAAGCTCTTTCAATAAACCGTTAATTATTATTATTATTATTATTACACACACACACACACACACACACACACACACACACACACACACACACACACACACACACACACACACACACACACACACACATACATATTGTGAGTGTGTGGTACTAGGTGTAGGTGTATGAAAAATAAAAACTGTTACTGAATATGTACGTGGAAGAGTTTGGTGTAACAACGTCATGTCCTCCCTGGCAGATCCTTACCGGAAATAGATGGGCTGAGCAAAGAGACCGTTCTCACATCCTGGATGGCCAAGTTTGATATGATCATCAAAGGTAAGCATCACTCCTAACAACACTCTTTGAACACCTTAGTCTACAGTACATCAGATGTTCAAAACGTTATTGGTCATTTGTCTGCTTTTGTGTTGTTTTACTGGTAGTAATAAGTGCTCATACAGGATCTGGAATCTGAACTACAGTATATGATAAATATTAAAAAGGTAGTGGAATGCTGTTTTGCCCCACAACACCACTGCACTTTATAATGACCTTCCTCAGTCGTCAGGTAATCATGATAATGGTGTAAGTTCCTCAGTTTTTTACACCTGAGAATTAGGTGACTGCCCTTAATCATTAGACAACGCGTAATATTGATGCAACATTTCTTCTCCCTGCAGGTGAAGAGGACAGTAAACGACCTGGCAGGATGCAGCAGACCCTCAACAGTGAACTCATCATGCCTAAAGAACAGCTCTTTGATATGTTCCAGCAGATCCTTGGCATCAAGAAATTTGAGCATCAGCTTCTGTTTAATGCATTACAGGTACAGTACTGTACTGCTTATACTTAGTGGGAAACTTTGCATGTAAATTTAAAGTTTAACCCCATTCGTATCAGCGGGCATTCATAAGTTGAATGTTTGTAAGTTGGGGACCCCCTGTATTAACGTGTGTTGGTATTAGAAAAAAAAATGGAGAAGTTTTGATGTAGAGTAAGTTATCAGTAACTATACCATATGTGGATATTATTCTTCAGTCTTAGATTTCATACAGTGAGAGCCTTTATTTAACGGATTATGTGGGAGAGTGTAGACCATTATATCGAAGTTCGTTATATGTGAAACCTCCAGGTAACAGTATATGGGAGAGTATAGTCCATTATATTGAGGTCAATTTGATATGAAACCTCTATATTTTGGACAATACCAGTTAGATTGCTGTCTGTTAAATGGATGTTTTACAGTACAGTATTTAAAATGGTCAAATCTTTTATAAAGTAAATTTTTTGTTGACAATTAATTTATTGTACTGAAACAGTAGAAAGATGAACATTGTGTGATCTATCAAACATGTTGAACTTGGGTCTGGTGTCCTAAACACAAATTGTAACATGACATAATTGATTGTAAGCACAGCATTTTCTCTTCAAGTAGATCATTTAATTATTTAATATTTTCTGACTATGTTTGTACAGTATATTTGTAATGGCCTCCAAAATCTTTATCCTCTTACTCACCATATCCCTTTGTTAATGTAGCACCGTACTTGTATCTTATTGGTGTTAAAACTAAGTCATTACATTGCCTGAACAGTGGTAAATTTAGTAAGCTTCCTTGTAAGAGTAAAATAGACCGATGTGTTTATTTTTATTTATTTTTCAATAGCTGGACAGTCAGGATGAACAAGCAGCTGCCATCCGTAGAGAACTGGATGGTCGTATGCAGAAGGTTGCAGAATTAGAACGGGTAAGTGTTTTTCAGACAGTTGAAGTGAGAGACAACTTGGCTGCCACATATTTTCAGCTATGTTGTCAAAGAATTTGTGAATTGGTGTATGTTGTATTCATGCTAAAGGTGATTCAGTGATTGAGGCAATATGTGAATGATTTTATACAACAGTGGTTCTCAAACTTTTTTCTGTGTTAGGCTAATGGGTGGATATGAATGTATAATATGGGTCAGACATCTAGTTGAAATAGAGCTCTACTGACCAAGCACATAATGTTTTGCTGCGGAGAAGACATTTTCAAAGGGTGTCAGTTTTTGTTCTCTTGAAAATTTTTGAAATTTTAGGTCTGTTTTGATGCATCTGAAGGCCTCCAATTTTGTTCCCATGTATTGAGGTTCTAAGGAATTCCTCAACTCACTGCCATGATACACATATCAAAATGCATGGTCAAATTCACTATGCATCAGGTTATCATGAACTTCTGCAGTCAGCCTCAGGCATGTACCGATACTAATCTAACTTGATCTCTGCTGTGACTTCACAAACTTCATCCTTTAGGGTGAGCCATATTACCTCCAACTAGCATCTAGAGTGATGGCTTTGAGTGGTTTCTTACTACTAGGGGTATTGCTGCTGTAAATGAAGTAAATCTCTTGGAAAATGCAAAAGTTGGTGGAGAAATCTATCAAAGTATGGAGCTAGATTTTAAAGATGCAGTTGGCTTGTAAACAATTTTGTTACGTGCTGTAACCAGTCAAACGGCCTGGGGCATATGAGGTATTCTGTAATGGATAATAGCATGTACTGTATTTCACTACAGGAAAAATTAATATACAGGTGTACTCCAATTAAATTTTTTTGTAGAACTGAAAAAACATATTACAAAATCAAATACTACTGTATAGTTGTTAATTACCAGTAGTTTCTATCATAAATTGGAATACTGTATTGTATTGTAAATAGAATTATCATAAATAAGGAATAACAGGAATAATCTGTGAATGGCTTGGATAAACAAGCTCAGTCACTTGATATGACTTTACAATGTAAAACAAGGCAGTCAGAGATGGCATACGTCGCCCCAGCCATGTTCCTTGCGTTGTAATTTCCTTGTTCACTTTCATCTTTATATTAGGAACTAATGAAGGATCCTACAAAGAGTCTGCATACAACATTTGAGAGGTTTTATCTGAAAGTTTATGATACAGTATTTGGATATAAGAATTTTTTGTTTTTTTTTGTCTGTGACCTTGACTTTTGATTTATCAAGGCCAGTTTTTTTATGTGGCACACCAAGGGGTCTCCACATTTAATTCTTAGAGCAGAATTGATTTGTTTTTCAAGTAAACATGTTTTTTGACATCCCTGTACCTTTCTCAAAAATATTGGTCTGTTACGTATATCATTTTTTGGAGAAAGGTGGTGGTGTAGAGGGAAATATCCATAGCATTTTTGTTGTGCCTTTTTTCAACCAATTTTGTGCTAGTGCCATCCTTGAACTGTACAATATTTATTTTTAAAGTTACAGGAAAATGCATTTTTGAAACTTTCAATGACCATGGCATTTGACCTTGACCTCCCCCTTAAAGTTTAGTGTTTCCTGTATTCTTAATTTAGTTTATCCATAATGTTTGGTCAAATTTGGGGCATGTATGGCCGATATACATCCTTACAGTATTAGCAACAGTGCAGAAACACACAGGGTCATGCCAATGTCTCGCAGACCATTTTGGGGGTGTGGCAACAAAACTACCGTGTGTGCTTTTGGTGGTGGCACTCATAACACACACTCACCCTGGGACCTGCAGAGCTTTGCAATTCAGTTTGATTTTGAATGGGGATTGAAAACTCAATTTGACGGCAGCTCAGACTCCAATTTGGTATTACAGTATTACATCTACATTACTTCCAGTATAACTTCTCACAGTCTTATCTCACAGCATGAAACTCTTCTTCCTGGTTTTCAAGTACATTATGTTGTATTTTTCCTAAGAGTTTCTTTATGCTTTTTTCTCATTGACATTAACTTTAATGATCATTACTATTGTGTTAAATTATTTATTATTACTTTTAATTCTATCCACTGTATGTATTGGAACTTCGAGTATTACTTCTATGAATAATTTTGTTCCATTATTTTTGTTCAACCCAGAATGCGACGCCTAGCTTTAACCTAGGTATGTTAATGCCTAGCAATAACTCGCCAGGCCAACATACAGGTACTTTGTCTTTTGTTTATTAGGAAGATTTACTTTGTATTTTGTAAAGAAATATTAACTCCTTACTAATTGTGTGTAGAAGCACTCGGCATAAATAAATTAGCAATTTTCTCTTGATTTAAATGTAATTTGGTCTATATAGCCTATAATTTATATCACTCGGTACTGTCAACTCGTGATTTGATTCAATTTGTGAATTGATTGTAAAAAAAAAATTATTCCCCGAGTCCTACACTCGCCCTTCATTAGTTCAGTCTATAAACTGTCTGATCTTGAAGAACTTTCTCTAATTTCTCTGCAAAACAATGAATTTACTGTACACTGCCTCCCAACCTCAGCTATTTAGGTTAGGACTGTAAGAAGAGATACAATAATTCTCTCATAATTCACAGGGTTAGTTTCTGGCAGTCTAATGATTGTAAATATTCACATCATCAAAATTTTATGGCCATTTTCCACTCTTATGTGGGATAACCAGGATTATCTGATGGCAGCTCTCCATGCTGCACAGTCTCTTGCAGTCTCTGTTGTCAGGTTCTTAACTCAAATGCCATGTCTTACAATTTCTCCCCATGTAATTCTTGGTCTACCCCCAGCTCTCCTCCATATTTAGACTCCTGTATTTCTTTGTATATCTCTCTTTCTTATCATTTTATTACTTGCCACCATTTCAAGAAGCCCCCCTGACTCCACCCTTCTGTGGTTTGATCAGTTGAGTTGTCATTTTTATCTGTGTACTGTATTACTCATAACATCATTACACTTTTCCCAGGGGAAGAGAGAAATACAGACAGACTCTATCTCTTCTTTCATTACCTCTCTTCCATTCTTTTCTCCTCTTTCTTCTTTTCCTTGCTTCCTTCTCCCAGAGTATAAGGAGAGAAGAGAGCAAGAGGATGAGGTTGTCCTTCTCAGTTTGGGAAGGAGAGGAGAGTTAGTAAAGTGTATTGTTGTAAGTGCTGATTTATTTGTTCCTTAACCATGTGTGTATGGGGTCCCCTCCCTGCTGAATAAAAGTGTTTGGCATTAGCCAAACAAAATAGAGTATTAAAAGTGGCATCCCCAAAGTGAAGGAGTTAAGGGAGATAGTCTGCTAACCACTTGTGTTCTGGGCTTCCATCCCTGCTGAATAAAATTGCGTGCATTAGCCAAATAAAATATTAAAAGTGGCATCCCCATAGTGAAGGGGTTAACTTTCTGCTTTGCTTTATATGTTTACCTAATTTAGTGAATGGCCACTAACTAGAGGTGACCATGCAAAGGGAAGGAGGCCTGTGTAGGATCCCTCCATTGTTCTTGATAGTCTTGTCCATGGCTATTTAAAGCCCAATACTGTTCTCACTTCCACAGCTTGTACTGGTAGACTGTTCCCTCGGCCTACCACCCATTGTGTGAAGTATTTCCTTCTTTTCGTTCTGTATGACACCTTGATGATCTTTGAAGTTGTTTCCTCTTGTTTTAATGGAACATGACATAACATGTGAGAAGAAGGTGAATCAAGCAACTAAACTAGTAGGTCTTATAAGAAAGTTGTTGAGATATCTAGATGGTCTGTCCCTTGTAATGATCTTCAAGAGTGAGGCCTCCATCAACATTTTTCCCATTTTGCACTTTTTCATGAAACTGTTGTTACAGCATTCCCTCTTGAGTAGCCTGTTATCCATAAAAGTTCCGCCATGTTTGTCCTTATAGTTCGAGGTTGGAAATAAACATACAGTACATGAGGTGTGTGGGTGATAGTCCATTTTTGGAGACAGAGCAAATCTGATCTGAGGTTAGAGGACAGAGGTTGGAGGAAAATGCACAAGTGGAGTGCAAATCTAATTTGCTGTCTCCTTTATCACTTTGGTCTGTACTCTGCCTACTTTTTTAACTTCAAAGGTGGTATTTAATTTTTATTACCTTCCTGGATTTGCGATTCATCCATCTGGTCTTATTCCTTCACTTTCTCGATTTTCTTCTACTGCTGTCTCAGGGTTTTCCATTAAAAAAAAATAACAATCAGTTGTTACAAAAATTTGATACAAATTAATGGGAAAATTTACAAGTGAAACCACTGGCATTAACTATACATTAAATCTATGGAAGGGAAGGGGAAAGGGGCTATAGTGACGATGGAGGTAATCAGTTGGTTAGTTCCCTTTGACAAGTCATAGATGAAATATTTACCTTTGCTTTTTATTTATTTATTAATTAATTAATTAATTTATTTATTTAGTTTTTCTTATAGTAGTTGTTGATTAGGTAATGCACATTAATCACAGACAAACTTGGTTGAAAAGTTGTAGAAAAAAGCCACACTATGTTCAGGTACTTTAGCTGAACTTATTATTTACTTTGAGTTGTTCTTCATTACCTCTACTTATCACCACAGGAGTTTATATGAAAATATGATCATACAGTATCCACAGTCCTGCATAATGTTAGTGTTAAAAAGAGATAAGTCCAGTGATTCATGTAGGTTTGTGTAGTTTACTGTGAGCGACTGTAAACAATTGCTCACACAGTAAACGCTCATTATTTTATAGTTTGATGTAACATGATTGACTTAAGTGTGACAAACAAGTAGTGTAGGAATTTTCCCATCTCCACATATGGATCTCTCCACATAGATGAGTTTTCAAGAGTCAAAATCTTCCATAGTGGTCCCATGGGGGTGGGGCTCGTGTAACCCATTTTTAATTAAAACCCAATTGACACTAAATCATATACAGTTTACTACACCTGTTTATGTATGACTGTAAAATTGAGAATTAGTGGCCTGTGTGTGAGGTTTTAGGTGTCGGTACTTGCAGGAAGGATGTTTGATGTGATTTGTTATTATTTGGTTTGTTGTATCATGTTTGAACATGAGAAGATATTTTTATTATACTATGCTATAAATAGTCAAACACCATATAGAAGTAATATAATACTTAATACTGTGCTGTATTTATTAACTATATAACTTATATAATTGTAAAAATTATGTGTGACATCTATAGGTGTGATTCACTACTAAAGTAGCCAGGCGTAAGATGATGTGGGGAAGTGTGTGGCACATCCCAAGGCTGCTTGGTGGTCAACATCTCTCATATATTAGCTACACCCTAATCTACAGTAAACCTTGTACAGTACAGTACTCTACAGCTCAAAAATACACAGTACTGTATGGACACACAGTGCACTACACACAAATTCCTATAAACAAACATTCTTACTCAAGTGCACATCATAAATCTCTTCACTATTGCTCCCATTGGCTGCACTGCCTTCAGTGATTGATGTATCTTGATGTCTTGGTGGTTTTCCTTATCTTATGGTGCCAGGAATGTATTATCCATAGAGTAGCTTTGTTTTGGGTCATTATGTCTTGCATGAAGGGCTTTGTACTTTGCTTCACTAAAAAAGCATTTCAAATTTTGCAACCATTTGAAAAGTTGATGCAATTCATATTGCTTGGAAACAATGTCTTTCTGATATGCAACCTTTTCATACATATTTAAATCATCTGAAAACTTGATTATGTGGCTCCACATATTTCCATATACTACACAATGAACCCTTCTTGTACTCCACTGTGAATTTCTTTCTAATCTGAATCTACTCTCGTTTTAACCAATCGTTGATACATGTGTTTGAGCCTGTCTTTAATCTTCAATATTTTGCCTCTAATGCCTTGTACCTGGTTTTTTGAGTACTGTACAGCCACGCATGTGGAAACTGGTCAAAAGCCTTTAAGAAATCTACATACAACACATCCACTGGTAAACCTTGGTGTCCATAGTCTTATCATTTGCAGGAATTCGAGTAGATTTATAAAACAAGATTTCCTCATCGTGAACCCATGATAATAATTGATATTCAGTTAGTTTGACCAAGGACAGCTAACAAAGCCATGAGAGGCTTGTTTCCAGTAGAGTCCTTATGCCAGCAGCATCTGGTTTTCTCAAGGCCAGGCGGTCACCCATCCAAGTAGTAACCAGACATAGTGTTACTTAATTTCACTGATCGGACATGAAGCGGCTTTTCCAACATGGTTCTACTTCCTATAATGCATTGATAGGATTGTGTTTTGTTAGTACTGGATGGTAGTACTTACTGTATTTATTAAAATTTTCTCAAAGGATTTGCAGATATTTAATGTTAGGCTGAATAGCTTACAGTTTTCTGCTGTCCTCGTAATAGCTTTCTTGTACAGTATATTTGGGTGACATTGACTGATTTCCACTGTCTTGGCTCATTCCTCTTAACCAGGATTTCAGAAAAGCATACCTCATGAGCTACCTCTTCAGGCTGGTTATCTTTTCTTGATGATTTCTTATGATTGATAAGTCTCCTAATTCATTTTCAATCCGTGGGTAATTTTGATGAGCTATACTGTTAGTCTCCTTGGCACTGGTATGTTATTTCATCTTTTTTATGAGCACTGGTGCAAAGTACATAATTTTTGTAGGATATCGGTTTTATTTTTCATCTTCCAAATACTACAGGTTGTTTTCTTCCTTTACAATGTTTTCAGTTATTTTTCATCTGAAAATTTTATAGTTTTTTATGCAGCTAAATGATGTTGATTTTTTTTCTGAACCTGCTCTTATGTGTTTTGGGGAAATGAATAGTTTTCCTTGTATAGTTTACCTTAAGATCTTTTCTAATCATCTATGTTACCAGACAACGTTTCTGTTTGTGTCTGTCCTTTCATTTTTTGAATGCTTTCACAATTTTTTTTCACCTTAAACCAATTTTTTTTTAGAAGTTTGTAATGATGCATTGATATAAAGAGCCTTGCCTACTGAACCCACTGCAAACAAACTGCACATAAACACTGACATCATTTAAGAACTTACCATGCAAGCTAAGTTTGTGATGACCAAACTAATACAGTATATTCACACAAGGAAATTGTTTGCCCTGACTGATTTATGGAGTGGACACTTACTGCGTAGTTTCATTACAAGGTCTACATCGTGTGTCAACCAAATTTTTCTTAACAAGCAATGTAATAGAAAGGTGTGATTGACATTGTTGAGTTTGGTCAATTAGCAGATTGTCAGTAAATATTGTGGATCTGTTTAAGCCTTATAATTTTGGAGTTTGTGTTGCACAGATCAAATTTTGACAGAGAAATAAAGTACTGTACGTTATTACAAATATATTTTTGGGTAATACTTGGTGCCAGCAGTGTACCGTATACTGTACATAAAAGCTTGAACAGTACAGTACAGTATATCTAACATGCAAGCAAATTTATGGTACAGGGTATGTTAAATCATATACTGTAACGTAAATGAGAACTTTGCTCTCGATTTTTAAAAAATATTAGTACAGTACTGTACAGGTTACCGACACGTGATTTGAAGGTCTTGTTCAGTTTGAGCAGAATCTGAAAATTTTTGATGTTGATTACTTATAAAGAATTTTTTTTTTAAATATCTTGTCAGTCAAGATAATATTCTGTCACACTTATCTAGGACTTATTAAATTTATAAGGACTCACTGCAGGTGTGTGTTGGACAATACCCACATTGAAGACTAGATGTACTGTACAGTATCTGCAGTGTGAATGTTATGTATTGGAACTTGGGTCCCTGCCTCCAAACCATTATCTCAAACTCCTTCTAGGTCATAGAGAGATATGGAGGATATGCAGAATATAATGCAGAATGATCACTTCTTAGACATAACATTAATCTGAGGGTGGGTTTGACCATAAGATTAATTGTTGTGAGACTCTTCTTTCTCCTAGCAAAATAACCTTATTACCCCTTGAGAATTCCTCCTTATTTTATTTTGTTTTGATCTATGCCATTTCTACAGTACCACCACATCCTCTTATTATTTTTTTTTTTACTTCCACGTCTTAAAAAAGGAGTTAGAAGGTCTTAAGAGAGATCCGGAAGTAAGTTTTGTTATGGAGATATTCCTAGAGGCCTCAGTAAGCCATAGGTATGCATTTATCTCTGTAGATGTAGCAGTTAGATAAGGAATGAAAGGCTGTGAGTACATTATGGGTATGCCATACATTTCGGGTAATATATGATGGATATGTGAAGTGTATTCCTTATGTGTTACCCAGATTTTTCACTTTTTTTATTATAGTCAAAATCTGTAGTGAATTCTGTGCCAGATGATCTGTTCTCAACTTAAGGTAACCGAATGGAATATATATTTACATGTCATTATTATATTATGTGCCAAAACTACTGATTCTTTGCACAAATTATAATTTCTACAATCCCACTAGTAAAATGTTGGGCAAATTGAAATGCATTTACATTTAGGTTCTTGAAATGGACATGAGAGAGAATGATGACCATGTAAAAAATTCTACCATTAATATAATCCTTAAATTTTTGTAGTTTGCTCTTAGTGTGGGCCATACTGTAAATGTTGAATTTTGGCCTGTTGTTTGATTTTAATTATTGGTTCTTTTATGCTTTTATCACTTTAATATTTAGTTATTTCAAATTATACCTTTACAATCTTTACAAATATTGTTCATTCCTTAGAATACTTTATTCTTCCCGTGCTGTGTAACTGCAGAAGTATGACTAGTAGATTGAAAGAAAGCATTTGACCTCGTGCTACCCAGCACGGTTTCTGATGCTTGTCTCGCTTCATTTACATTTATTAGTTCTTGTATTTAAAACTTGCAACTCTAGTTAATTATTTTGATATTGTTATGCAACCTAAGACTCAGAAATACTGTACTTTCAAATTTAATGCATTCACAATCTAAAATTGAATAAAGATATTTGCATTCATTTAATTCTTCACTGAAAAATGTATACAGTACAGTCTCTTAATTATAAAAACCTCTCTTTTTGACAAATTTTAATTCATTTAATGTACTGTATGTTTCTTAACTGCATCTTTAAACCACTCTGTTCAGAAGTACTGTACAGTAGTAAGATTTTTCATTTATCTGTCATATGTACTGTACTGTGTGAGCTTGAAAAACTTGCTGAAAACTGTGTGTGCATTTGTACCATTGCAGTTTAAGACACTGTATCTACTTTTAACTTCTTTTTCATTATTATAAAAGTAGTGTCTTTCCTTTGATTTATTATCACTAAGGAATGAAGGAAAATAATATAGATTTAAATATACATAATGTACATGATATATCAATTCTTTTTAACATAATAAATATGCTCTTTGAAGATTAGCGTAACTAAAGTGAATAACCCCCCCCCCCAGAACCGTAAGCTGATGCCCAAGTTTGTGGTGAAGGAGATGGAGTCCCTTTACTTAGAGGAACTCAAGACGTCTATTAACCTGTTGATGGCCAATCTAGAAAGTCTCCCTGTGTCGAAAGGTTCACAGGAGGGCAAATATGGTTTACAAAAGCTTAAAAAGTACAATCACAGGTAAGTCTTTAACCAATATCAAACTTTAATTTAATGATTTTTTTTTTTTTGGAGGGAGGGGCGATTTCTTAATTGCAGTTTTGGTGTATAACTCGAGCCTTGTTACTTATACTTATTTGTCTCCTATATTTCCGTCTGCCTCCGATATGCTGTACCTCTCCCCCCACCACCTCATCATTTGTCTGTACAGTAAAGTATGTCTTAACCTGTCTACTCTTTCTCTATCATTCATTTCATGTTATTTTTATTTAATCATGCATTTTCTTTATTTTCCTCTTTTTGTGCTTAGAGAGATATACACTGTACTATATTGTACTTTGTTTTTATTTCTTCTTCCTCTTCTTCTTCACCTTCTCTTCTTTTTTTCTTGACTATTTTAATGTTTAGCTGTTATCATTTATTTACAGTATCTTCACTTACATCTTCTTTACTTTTGTGTGTGTACTGTTCTGTATTTTTTTTTAGTCTTGTCTTTTAGCTTTCATCTCCCTATACTGTATCCTTCTCTTAATTCTCTGTGTATATAATTTTTGTAAGTCTTTTGTCTATTTTTTTTCTTCATATTACAGAAGTATTTTTATGTAGCTGACAGTTGCATGTTTCAGATTTTTTGCATTTACACATTTATCGTTACTTTACTTTATTTTGTTTTTACTTCCAATGAATGGCTGGATGACAGTGCTCTGATCATCTGTGTCAAACAATGTTTTCAATAAAGTTATATATTTTTTAAATGAACTGAAGAGTATGAATTATTTTTTTAGATATTTTCCATGCAGAAACTTTTTTAAGGCTCCGGGCGATTGTTTTTATCTTTTAACATAAATCCGACCAGTTGATTTTTAGTGGTAAAGAGATTTATTAGCTTGCAACTACAGTATCTTAGCCGCTCTCAGTTTTTTTTTTTTTAATTACTCATCCTCGTCGTTTTCGTAAATAGAAGTGTCGGTTGACTTAATTGGGTGTTATATGCCAAGACATGCTTTCTCTTGGTAGTGCCATATGAACAGTTTTAAAGTACTGTAATATAGAAAATATACAATGTTCTAAGTATAAATGTGTTTATAGATTACCTTCAACTGTAACAAAATTTTTTGAGAAAAAATCATGCACCAAAAATAATGTTTTTGGCGATTCTTTTTGGGAGTCAACAGGTTGCTTTTGTTCCGACTTTTCATTTTCAGATGGGCTCCCAAAATTCTGCCCCCCGTGCTAGAGTTTCTTGTAGGGATCTTCGCCACGATAGGCTGCCCCTCCCTTATTGCAAACGTAGCAGCCTTTTGGTATATTTTAAAAAATTTCTAGTCCATGTTTTAATACCCTTTTCAGTCCAGTTGTGTCGTTTTCCGTATGGCTGGAGTTCTTATAATTATTATTATTTACTACTATTATTAGTCATTTTATTATTGTATTATTATTGTTATATCTATATTTATCATTATTATTTTTTATTTATTATAATTACAGTATTACTAAAGTATTATTGTTTTTATTATTGTTATTATTAATATTATAATCACCATTATTATGATTGCCCATTTCCTAACGTACTATAGATGTTATTAATTTAGATTTGATATTGTTAATGCAGGATTTTGCCGTTTATATTTTTGCATGGATTTATTGATTATACGTACAAGGTTTTCCTTGTAATTTCTTCAGGGTTTTGTCTGTCTTTCCTTACCATATAATCTCTCTTGTCAGTTTTATCTTTAAGGATTCCAGGCTTGAGTTGCTACCTCCACAGTAGGGTCTGACGTGCATACTGTATCGACTTATTTTAGCTGAATTTGTTTCAACCCTAAATATGTCAAGAATGAATTAACCCAGAGTAAAAGACTCAGTCTAAGGACCTTATTAAATATTAATATCAAGAGTGTTTACACCTGAATTTTATAGTTACAATTTGCTTTGATAACCAATACACATAACATACCATTATTATCAGTAGGTTCTTTGTATTTTTATAGTTAATTAATTTCTTTATGATTTATTGTTGCCGTCTTTTCGGAAATTTTTAATATCCGGCTATTTTTCGCTTTAATTTATACTGTACTTGGATGTTCAAGTTGATAATTTTGGTCATGCATAAATGGGTTCGGTCTTTTTGCAAATCTACACAGTCTATTTTAACTTAGAAATTTTTCCATGTATTATCACAGACAGCACTCTAGATTTTTTAAACAATAACTATACGACAAACACAATACAGTATACTGTATTATTTTTCACTTCTTTGCAACCTTTCCTCTAGAACTTTATTATGAGTTGCCAAGTGCATGAGTTAAGCTCTTTATTGAGTATCGTCAGAAGCAGGTTCTGTGATTTCACAGTTATGAAATCCGTTATTAGTATTATAGATTGCTTTTGATGTGTATAATTTTTTTGTTGTGTGAAATGCTTGACTTCTGTGTATCTTGATTATTTGATAATGAAAAAATATTTTGGCTTTATTCAAGAATCTATTTCCTTGATAAATAAATGCAATTTTATTTGTTCGGTAGATAGTTCACAGTAAAACTAAATTATACAGAACTAAAGCTTAGTATAACATAATCATTATTAGCTGATTTTCTTCCCAGAGTAGAGTAAGCATAGTATGTTGACATTTTCACTTGTTTTGTGATATCATGGCCCAGTAAAATGTGGCAGGGTTGAGCAGTTATACATAATCTTCAGAGCAGGAGAGTCCTAATTCAGTCATTGGGAAATTTATTAGAGTTTGTTTCTTGGGTAAATTAATACACAAATTTTTTGTTTTCATGACTCAGGGTTATAAAATTGGCTAACTGATAATGAATCAAAAGTCAAAACACTAATATTTGCAACTACATACTGTATAGGGCATTTAATTTTTTGAGCTGTGATATATTTCTCGTGCTGAGGCCTCCTGTTCGTGCTATATTGTTAATCTTATGGTTGAAACACATTTGATTATATCAGGGTGGGAGTTTATTACTGGATATAGTATTTGAGCTTTGAAATATAAAAAAATAACTATAAAAAAACATAAGTCTTTGATGCTGGAAACAAAAGTTGTCTCTGATAATTCTGGCGCTGTTCTTAAATACTGTACAGCAAACCCTCCATTTATTATGTCTCCAAGTCTGTGATTTTGATATGCCACGTTGAACCAATTTAGACCATAATTTCCATTTCTGCACTGCCTGCTTTGCCATACCATGGATGATGTCAGTATATATGGGCAAATTATATAACTCTGTGCCGATAATTTTATTTGCATTTGAAATAGCCACGACTTTAAAAGAAAAAATGTAACACACATTAGACCTTATAAATCTGTTGGAGAAAATGAATAAGAAATATTAAGAAAACAGATGCCAAAGAATCAGTATCTAACATTTATCATTTTATGGTGACTCAACTAATTGAGCTTAACAGCCTTTTTATCTCATAACACAGTAATAACAATAGTTGCTTGTGTTTTCTTCACTCAACACATGGACCTTTGTACACATGTGCATATACTGGGTATACATTCCCCATTCTTTAAGAGTTAATGAAAATTAAAACTGACTGGAATACCCAGGACACAATACTGTATCGTATGACTGGTCACTGTTGGACAGACAACATACAAATGGTCTTAGGTTTAGGTACACCACAACACTTGCTGAGCATTGCAGTTACCTTCATTTCTTGCTTAGAATGCCTTGTATATTTTTGGGTTCCAACTGAATTTATTTGTAATGAGGGCAAGAATTTGTAAGGGAATTTTTTGGACTTAACGCAAAATATACAGTACAGTCAGTCCTTGACCTACGACGGGGTTAGGGACCGACGACCAGGTCGTAAGTCGAAAATGCGAAAAGAATACATAGAAAATCTAAAATGGGTATCTCTTTTTCTTCTCAGTACCACGAGAACTCTCAATTTTACGCTTGCCAGCCATTTTAAAGGGAATTACAAAAAAAAAAAAAATTTCAGTATACGGCGCGATCACTAACGTCGGGACTCGAAAATACGTAATTTGAAAAATATTTATACGACTGCGGCGGGCGTATGTCCGGGTGGTCGTAAGTCGAGTAGGTCGTAAGTCGAGGAGTACCTGTATAATGTAACCTTTGAAAATTGTTCCCAATAAAACAAAGAGAATTTTAGAAGAAGAAAGAAAAATTATTTATCGCTAAATAATTAGGGAGAATGTGTGTGTGTGTGTGTGTGTGTGTGTGTGTGTGTGGGGTAGTGATTCAGGCCACTCAGCATTAAGTTAGGAATAGCTCAGATTAGAAGGAAATTAGGAAGAAGAAGGAAAAGAAACAAGCCGAGTAAAAGTGTGAGGACTATTGATAATACCATGACCTGATGCCTCTCACCTCACTTGATATGGTACATGTCAGTGGTGTCATTAGAAGTTATTTTTTATTAATGTAGTCAAACATTAAAATATGAGAAAATATGTAGACTATGAAAAAGAAAATTGATAAAAATATAAGAAAATGACCAAGAATATGAACAAACTAAGAAGAATGAAAATAGAATGTTGTTAAAGCATGAACTCGGGAATATACTACTGTATAGGTATGTGTAAAATTGCAGTGGATGAGAATGATGTAAGCACAGTAAGGCCGACTCTTCAGATAACACTTGCTCTTACCTGTGGTGGGTTCGTCTGGCTCTGTCAAAGGTACCGGGGTTTTTTCCCATTTTTCTTTGCTCCTGCTCCTCGGTATTTTATATTTAGGATGGAAACTCAAAATGCAGACTAATTTTGGTTAGTTATTTTTTATTGATAAGTTTATTGAGGTTGGGGGCAGAAATTCAGGGCTTGGTTTTTTTTTTTTACATTTCGCCATTTATCAGTTTGGTTGTCACAGGCAGTTGGTCTGTTCTTTATTACTTGATGACCTTTACTGTTTAGTCACGTGTGCTTTACCAATAAGAAGGGCATGTAACTGATGTATGCATATATGATCTATATGTGCCATGTGTGTGTATATGTGTAACTGCAAGCATGAGTGTGTTTGTATGAATATATAAACGATCCACAGGACCAACTGCTTGGTTTGAAATGGGAAAGGTTGAAAAGTAGAATGGTATTTTTATAAATTTTGACGACTCAGAAAAGGTTTAAATTTATCATTTTTTGCTACCTATGAATCATTTGAAAGTGACCCATGAGAATGCCATGAAGTCATTTTATGGTAAATACCATAATACAGGTAGAAAAAAGTACAAATACACCCATTAAGTTGAAAGAATTAACTCAGGATTATTAATTAATTTTGTTATTTTGAAACCCTGGTCAACCATAAAAGGAAGTTCATATTCCTGCCAGATTCCAGGTAGACAACATGCCTGTTCCCTCCAGTTGGCCTAACTAAGATACACTGATTTTTCTTAAGAAGGATAAGTGTTCATATATAGGCATGCTCTAATTTACAAAAGGGGCCTGTTCCTGAAAAAACTTTAAAAATAAGTGTTTCTTAAATGAAAGCACATTTTCCCATAGGCTCTGATTATAAAAACTGAAAGACATTCCCATGAAAAAAATCCCTAAAACATCTTAAGATTCCACAAAATGCTAAAAAATTTTTTTTAATTATTATTAATTTTTTTGGGTAGGTGTACATGATGATTACAAGACAATAATAAATCTAAGTGAAATACAGTACAGTAGAGTACAGGAATAATTTTGGACTTATGAGAAACCAGTCAAGTTTGAAAAGAAAGTGAATAATATGGAATGCTAAACCATCACTTATAATAATTATATTAACCTCCCAGAAATTACTGGTTATTAATGTATTTGTAAGCTTCACCTGAGGGAAGAAACAAGTTAGTCACAGGGATGTAATTTTAATGCAGTGAAGATTAGCAGGAAGAGAGACTGTTTACTGTATTTGTTTGTATAACCCTAGTGAATTCCTGTGATGGTTAATAAGTGTGACCGACTTATTTTATTAGAGCCTTGGAGAATGATCCTGTAATGTAATATTTACTAGCCCCACAGTGTCTACCTCATAGTGTTTGAGACCATAAAAATAACTAATCCCTTCCCTCCACTACATATCTAGACCCCACGTTTCTAAAAGAAAAGGTTCGTGAAGGAAATTTGGGTTGCCTGCCAATACAGAAAGGTCCCCAGACATTGATGGTTACACATGGGTTTTACTACTGGTTGTACATGATTCTTGAAATGAGGTCTCTGCCAATTCCTTTTTAGTTAGCTTGATTCAGTCATGGCTAGTTTTTCATTGAGACAGCAATAACTCATAGTAGCTCCCAAGTTTTTGACACTTATCTAGATCATGGTGAATTATTAAGAACAAAGAGAAGTTATTTAATTAACCCCATTATGTAAGACTGTGCCTGTGTTGAGCTAGCATCCTGGCTGGATAAATTACCCTTGTTCTTTGATAAAGTTGAAAGACGCGGAGTAGAAATTAGTGCTTCTTTTTATAGACAAGGCGCACAGAAATTATTTTTGGCCAGCTGCCCTTCGTAAAATGGCTCAAGAATGTGTATTCACCGAGCCATAAAATAAATTGACTAAAATTAGTCATTTTCAGGTTTGTGTGGTTCACAAGAATCACTTCACTGGTGGAGCTGTCTTGTCTGTTAGAAGTTGGTCCATCCTTCCAGTTTGTGGTCTTATGAAAAAAAGTTATATACCTGTACTGTATTATGTTCATCGCTTTTTCTTCTGGAATGTGTTGCCATTACATGAATGCAGTACTGTAGTAGCTTTAGAAATTTTTTGTGCAAATGAGTCATTCTGAAAATTTTGTAAATTATAAAAAATTTGACTGGCACACTTTATCATTATCACTGCTATATGGTTATTTTTCTTGATTGTATGGGTTAGCCATGAATACCTGATGGCATGGTGTCTCAGTTGCCATTAGACAAATTTGAAGCAAGATTTACAGCTGGATGCCCATCCTATTACAAACCCACTTTTACAGAGCAGGAACTGGATATTACAGTACGTATATGTAGGACTTCCAAGTGCCCATTTAGCTGGCAAGGCAGGGTCACATACCTGTTAATAAACTTCCATTACCAGTGGGGCTTAAACCACCTTTCCCTTGGATAAGAGAGACTTGATGAAAAATATCTCAAAGCTAATATGAAATTTTAATAGAATATGTAACACCTCATACCAAACTGCCTGCCTTTATGATGTTATAATAAAACAATGGTGTATCACAGTGGCAACACTCAATGGCACTGTGTTCACTTCTTTTGAGACTCGTCATACAATTCTTTAGAAATATTGTATTAATTTTTCAGTCTGTGACTCCTCTATTGCAATACCTGTATTGAGATGGTAACAAACAGTGGTACATACTGGGTCATGGTTGTCAAAGTAATTTGTACCCTTTAGCTGAAATAAAAACTCCCATGAAATGAAAAAAAATTATAATCCAGGTCAGCTCAGGTCCCAAGGTGGCTGCATTGGAGAATTTTAATCTGTACTGTCATTTACAGTACAATGCTTACCAGAGTTGGAAGTTTTACCTGCTATAACTAGAGGTGTTTCAAAATGCTATGTGAACAAAACTGCTTTAAGAGACATTGCTATCAATATTACTAAGATGTGCCAATATTAATAAGATGTGCCAGTCTAATTCTTTTGGAGTGCCATTGTGGGCACTTCTGTCGGGTTCAGCATTGATTTTGCCCGTAATATCTAGTGTGTTGTAGCTGAAGTATGGCATGCACACAAATGCACCGTCTTGATTCTATGCAGTTTCCTCTTTTTTTTCTTTTTTTTTGGGGGGGGGGCAGTAATCAATCAAGTGTGAACCATCCATGATATTTGTGAAATTTAGGTGTTAAAAAGGAAATAACTTTACCTGGAAATACTATATTACAAAGGATGGCTTTTGCGAGGCATTACTGTACCTGTTAACTTAAGGTGAACAGAACTTTGATGTCAGTTAAAGAACTAATAAAGTTGATACAGTACACTGAATAAGGACAATAGCTAGAATTAGCTAGCCCAACCCATTAGCTCATCATCAAGCATTCACAAGAATCAAACACAGACATGCAAAGTTAATCATGTCAAAAATTATGAAGTAACCATACAGAACTCTGTATAGAATAAATAAATGATAGCATGGGGAGACAATAACCCTCAATGAAAATTAACATTCAATTTTCCAGACAGCATCAACAAGAATTCTGTCTAGATGATAAGAAGATTTGACAGTTTCTTAGTGATACATTAACTGTGAAGAGATGGAACTATGTAACCAGGCAAGAAACAAAAGGGTGTTTGAATTGCTTGGAACTTTACCTCAAGACCTTTGTCTTGCTAAGCAGCACACTTACCAATTACATCGTGGTGGTTCACCACTCTTGCTTCCCTCACTGATCTTTGGATAACCTTTTGTTTGTACAGGACTGGGCAAGGAAATCTTTCTACCACACTATGCATGTAACATATAAATGAATGGTTCAAGGCAAGAAGGGACCTATCTTAGGGCTTTGACTTGGTGATCTTGAAGTGTTACTGGCTCATAGAGCAACCACCATTCTGCGGTTTTGAAGCATTGCTTCTAATATGGTGTATTGTATAAGAATTTAATACAGCACCTATGCTGATGCTTTTGGGCAATGTATCCTGGTCAGGAGGTGCCCCAGGAAAGGTATCGTGGTCACTCATTGATGACATGTAGACTGTAAAAAGTATTTGAAAATATTGTATTTTAAAACAATCCTAGATATTATAGATCTTCATCATTGGCAGTAGTTGTTGCCATAATTTCATTTTGTGTATTAAATGATCTTTTAAATTAATTGAAGGACTTATCTTTATACTTTCTTTGTTCATTCCATTTATTGATTTCTCAACCTGCCTCCTGAAGTCTATTTAAGCCCAATGGTAATTCCTACATCTCCAAAGTGTAAATTTCCTCACATAAATGACAGTTTGCAAATACTGTGCATGGGAACTGATAGTCAGTCCAACTTGTTGCATTTATTCTTTATTATTCATCTACATCTTCTTGTCTTACTAAAGAGAGTGAATTCTTCTACTTTTTTAATGGCCAAAGGTATTGGAATAATAACCGAGAGGTTTTCCAGTTTCTTATGGAATCCACCTAACTTCTGTTTCAATGAGCAGATAATTTTCCGCAGGTCAGATGGGAGCATGGAAAATCTATCTCTTAGTAGACGTAAAAGATACAAAGTTTTCGAGTACCTGTCCCCAAAACTAAGGTGAGTTTGAGAGGGTTAAGGAAGGGTGCAATCAGTTAGGAGGAGAACTAGCTTGAATTGTTTGAAACAGATTCTTGATTGTAGTTACAGTATACTGTATAGTATTTTTTGTGCTTTCATTTCTTATTTTGAAATGTACTCTTAAAATAATGAAATTTAAGTTTTTGTTTTAGTACAGTGTCCATGTTTTATATACATAAAATAATTATAACTGTGAAACCTAAAGAGTTATTTAATTAGAAGGTAAATACTAGTGATCCCAGTAGTACATTATGATCAAATACTGTAGATGATTTTAGTTTATTAGATATTTCAGTAGGTTTTGATAAATTTTAGAAGAAACAGTTGTGAGAAAGCATTTATACAGACCAGTTTGATTCAAACAATTCATACAGGTACCTCCACCTACAGTGCACCCAGGTGGGTAATATGCATAGTTGCCTATTGCTGCCCAAATTTAACCCACTGCGTAGCTGCCCTTGTCTCACCTTCCGTAATGCTTGTTGGCATACTGGCAGAAAATGAGCTACTGTTTTACCAAGACTTGACTAATGGACACTGATAATGCCATCAGTTTTTAGGGCAGAATAGAGATTGATGGATGGAAAGATAACTGCAATTGAGGGAGATTTTTACGGGAATGTGTTTGCAGTTACAGACTTGCAATTATTTTTCATTAAAAATGTACATGGAAGTGTATGACTTATATGATAAAGTGTGCACAGTTGTATAAAACTGTTTTACACAATCAGCTGTCTGCAGGTCATGTACCACAATAATTCAAGCGAATGGACAATACAAGTTTGAAGTTGTTTAGAATTGCGATGTGAAGTATTTTTTTTTATCCATTGTTGAATACTCAGTGACTGAACAGTAATGAGGATTATGTTCTTACATTGCTGCGTGCCATCAGCCATTTTGACCAGTACGCCAGCTCCCTCTTAATGTAGATTCGTCATCAGCAGCAACCGGTGTAACAGTCGCCACAGTTTTAAGTCCGCTTTTTATGTGTCTTGGGAGGAGAGAACCAGCATCAACATCCCTTATTGCTTTTTGGGGTGCCATTTGTGTGAGCCTTGTAGATGGCTAGTATTTTTGTGCAAAAGATTATTTACTGTATTGCGTCCCTGTAATGTACAATGTGAGTAACTGGCTCCTGTATTTGGAGTTGGTTTATAGACAGCTTGGAATGGGCTTACTCTGAACTGACTGCATGGTTAATGATTTTGTTTTTTAGATCTTTTTAAACTAAAGTGTAGTATTGTACTGTATGTGATAGAATGTTTAACAAGAGGTAAAGAAGTAGTATGTGAGAAAGACAACACACATTAAGTGGCAAATGGTTCATTATGTGAAAGCAGAACCAGCTTATACACTAACTCAGCAAATATTTTGAGAGTCCACTTAGTTTTAAGTACCAAAAAGTTTGTAGATATTTAGAACCATAATATTTTTGGCAGTTGCTCAAATTCAACCATTTTAGTTTGAATATGAAAAAGGTTTTTGTGATGGTGATTGAACATAGAAGGATAGATTTATTACATTCCTTTATTTAGAAGAAAAATATTTTTTACAATACTTAGAATGCCCAAACTTAGTTGTCTTTTGTATAACAAGTTATTTTATTTATATGAAATCTTACATACTTTTAAGAGACAAAATTCAGTGAAAAAGACTTGGGAAATTTTTCTCACAGGTGTCCAGGTCTTTTAAAACTCATTAATGCAAAAATGAATGGTTTAATGCATGTATAAATGGAAATATTTAAAGGTATGGAACAAACTTGTGAAACATATCCTTCAGAATATTTGAATTTTCAGTGAAACAATTAGCAGTTGTAGTATTTGACGTGACCAAATTATCTCTTCCTCTCATATTTTTATCCTTTTACTGCGGTGTTAAACTGATAATTTCTTTATTATTTCTCCCAGTGTGTAAAATTTACTTGTAGATGGTACAATATCAGGAGAGGTTAAAGGAACATAGCATTTTTTTTAGACTACCTCTTCATCTTAGGTTTATTTTGTTCTAGACAGCGTGCAATAATTTTGTTTTTCTTTCGTATTTAAAGTGAGATATATTATGGTTATGTTGCATCTTTACTACAGGTATAATTTTGTTAAATATTAATTGTCTTTGGCTTTGCATTCCTTGAGGCACAGGAGAAACTACTATACAGTACAGTCAACCCTCGCTTTACGCGGTCCCACATTCCGCGTTTCCACGTTTACGCGGTACCCTGCCGAAACCGGAATGCTCACATTTCGAGGTGCGTGTACCCCTTTACGCGGAGAGCAGCTGGCGAGCCGCGCCATTTTTGGATCCAAACCTTCCGCCATGTTGTGTAAGCGGCGCGAGCAGGGTGCGCACAAGGTCGCCCAGTCATCAAAACATTACCGAGTTCTTCACCCGCCACCCACCACAGCCGGCCCAAGTCAGTGACAGTGATAATTATAGTGAGGATATGGACTTATATGGACTTTGAGGGGTTTGACAAAGAGGCCCTGCAAGCCTCTGTGGTGGATAGTGATACAATTGATACAAATGATACAGGTGAGGGCCAATAATCTGCCCTCTGCCTCGAACCAACCCCCCATCCCCGTGCCCAGCCATCTTTTCTACTAATGTAAGTGTTAAAAAACCTAATATTATTGATATTTCTCTTAATTATTAATTGTGTGTGCATACCATCATAAAATTTAGAAGTTATTTTTACTACAACGTAGGTATTGTGTCTGAAAAAGTGGAGTTTGGGGGTCGGCCCGGTCTCTATTTCAATTAATCCCATATGTTATGTTGTTCACTTTACGCCTTTCTCACTTTCCGCGGTACCCTGTGGGTTGAATTAACCGCTTAAAGTGAGGGTTGACTGTATATGAATAAAGCAGTCATTAGTACTGTACTGCTGTGACTACTACACACACATGCATACATATGTACATACATGCATACATACATACATACATACATACATACATACATACATACATACATACATACATACATACATACATACATACATACATACATACAGAAAAGAGAGATATACACTGAAGAATAAGGGACATGTACTGAAGGATAAGGGACATACACTGAAGGATAAGGTACATCCGCTGCCCCACACAGAAGAATAAGGGACATACACTGAAGAATAAGGGACATACACTCTGAAGAATAAGGGACATACACAGAAGAATAAGGGACATACACTGAAGAATAAGGGACATACACTCTGAAGAATAAGGGACATACACTGAAGAATAAGGGACATACACTGAAGAATAAGGGACATACACTCTGAAGAATAAGGGACATACACTGAAGAATAAGGGACATGCACAGAAGAATAAGGGACATACACTGAAGAATAAGGGACATGCACAGAAGAATAAGGGACATACACTGAAGAATAAGGGACATACACTGAAGAATAAGGGACATGCACAGAAGAATAAGGGACATACACTGAAGAATAAGGGACATACACTGAAGAATAAGGGACATACTGAAGAATAAGGGACATACACTGAAGAATAAGGGACATACACTGAAGAATAAGGGACATACACTGAAGAATAAGGGACATACACTGAAGAATATGGGACATACACTGAAGAATAAGGGACATACACTGAAGAATAAGGGACATACACTGAAGAATAAGGGACATACACTGAAGAATAAGGGACATACACTGAAGAATAAGGGACATGCACTGAAGAATAAGGGACATACACTGAAGAATAAGGGACATACACTGAAGAATAAGGGACATGCACAGAAGAATAAGGGACATCCACTGAAGAATAAGTGCTGTAAGGTAATGAAAGAACTGAAAATAGTACAGGTATTAATTTATACTTTTGAGCTACAAATTGAGGTTATTGACGACTGTATGACAAGCTTAGTGAATGTTATACAAAGGTTCCTCTTAGTGGTGTTGGAGGGATATTGCCTACTTGTGTGGGCAGTAAAAGTATAAGATAATCATTAATGAGTTTTAAACCTATGTAAAGACTTGGAAGATTTGGGGGGCTCCAGAAATGCAACACTATTTTAATTTTGATAGGAAACATTTCACTCACAAACAAGATTCTATGAAACTGGAATTTGTTCTCTGCTGAGAATTAAATGTGTGTGTGTGTGTGTGCAAATAAATCACTGTAGGTGCATGTGATCCATGTATATGCTGACAACCACATAGAAACAAGAAAACATAGATGTTCTATAGTTTAATCATTTGGATAGAGAGGTGGCGTACAAAAGTGGTAGGTCACTCGGATGTTCTACAGATAACACTCTCTAGTGTGTAAATTAACTCCGAAGTTACAAGTATTAGTAAAGAAGCTTAGACAGTTGTAATATTGGGGGAAGTTTCTAGTGATTGTGAACATAAATAAAGTGATGAAAGTAAGTGAGAACAAAAGGAAGAAAGGGAGAAAATTAAATAACTTTTCATAAGTGACTGAATGGAGGTTGGGTGTATGAGATTTTTTGGGGGTGGATACATCACACAAAGGCTCAGTGGAAGGTGGAAAGAAATGAAGAGCAGCTGTGGGAAAGATGTGCATTGAGACATTTATAAAGGTAACACAGAAGGAGTGACACAAAGAAAAAGTTGAGCCTGCGCTGTTAATTGGATGTGAAGCATGGACTATGGGTGTAAGAAGAGAAAGCAAATTGGAAACGATAGAATTGATGTGCTGGAGGGTAATACTGGTGAACCTCTCTAGCTCACAATCTCTTAAAAGCACAATTTCTATAAGGTGTGGCTTAGAGAAAGGAACATTACTGGTGTTGTGGCTATATGAGGTGTTGCAAATTTGTGTTGTGGGTATCACACCTAAATCTCCCTTGCCACGTATAATATCTCGTGGTTCATGGCTTGTATTGAAATGGCGAGTGCTCTCGGTTCTTATGGTGATTGAGCCTAAAGGATATTGTTATACAATTGTTACTATTAATAGAATGTCTTGATTAAATGGTTTATAACTTCTAGG